CAACTACTCCGTCGCTATATGCTGAATCCGTAGAAGACGAAGAAGCAGCAGCAGATGCTGCTGCTGCTGCTGCAGCAGAAGAAGAAGCAGCAGCAGCAGCAGCAGCAGCAGCAGCAGCAGCAGCAGAAGCAGCAAAGGAGGATGTGAGCGCACCCAAAGAAGATGTTGGCCCTCCTGGTCGGGACACCACTGCAGCAGCAGCAGCAGCAGCAGCAGCAGCAGAAGCAGGCGAAATAGAAGATGCAGAAGCAGCTGCAAAAGGAGCAGCAGCAGCAGAACCAGCCAAAGGAGCTGCAGAAGAAAAAGAAGAAGCAGCAGCAGCAGCAGCAGCAGCAGCAGAGGAAGAAGAGGAAGCAGCAGACCCCGAGGAGAGAGCAATGCTAGCGGAGTTAGCAGCAGCAGCAAAAGCAGCAAGAGAAGCAGCAGCAGCAGCAGAACTGCATGCAGAGAAATTAACAAGAGAATTCTTAGCAGCAGCAACAGTAGCAGCAGTAGATGCAGATATTGCTGTTGCTGCAGCAGCAGAAGCACGAGCAGCAGCAGCAGCAGCAGCAGGAGCAAGGGATCAAGAAACTACAGCAAAACGTCAAGCTAAGCAGGCGCAGCAAATAGCAGCAGATGCTGCTGCTGCTGCTGCTGATGCTGTTAGCAGGGAAAAGGAATCAAAGGAAGCAGCAGCAGATGCAGCAGCAGCAGCAGAGAAAGATGCAGCAGCAGCAAGAGCAAAAGCAGAAGAATCAATGAGGAAAAAGGCCAAGGCAGACAAAGCAAAAGCAGTAGCAGCAGCAGCAGCAGCAAGAGCAGCAGAAGAAGCAGAAGCAGCAGCAGAAGAGGGTAGGGTAGAGGAGACAGTTGCTGCTGCACTAGCAGAAGCAGAGAACAAGATAGCAGCAGCAAGAACAGCAGCAGCAAGAGCAGCAGCATCACGTAGGATAGAGATTACTGCAGCAGACGAAGCAAGAGCAGCAGCAGCAACAGCAAGAAGGAAGCAGGCGAAGGCAACAGCAGCAGCAGCAGAAGTAGAGGAATGCAGACGCGTTGTTGCTGCTGCAGCAAGAACAGCAGAAGAAGCAGCAGATGCAGCAAAACGTGCAAGGGAATCTCCTAGGGCAAGAGCAGCAGCAGCAACAGCAGAAGAAGCAGAAGCAGCAGCAGCAGCAGCAAAAGAGAGGCTCAATCGGGCAAGAGACGACGCAGAGGAAGCAGAAGCTGCAGCAGACGAAGCAGCAGATGCAGCAACAGCAGCAGAATATGATGCGGATCTAGCAGCACAAGCAGCAGAGGATGCAAATGCTGCAGCAGCAGAAGCAGCAGCAGCAGGTGGCACATGGATAAGAGAGCAGCAGGAGGGAGCAACAGATGATGCAGCAAGAGAAGCAGCTGCTGCTGCTGTTGAAGCAGCACGAGCAGCAGCAGATGCAGCAGCAGCAACAGCAAAGAGGAGGGAATCGCAAGCAGCAGCAAAGAAGAAAAGAGCAGCAAAATGTAGATCGTTAGTTATAACTGCAGCAGCAGCAGCAGAAGCAGATGAGGAAGCAGCAAAGAGGGCAAAAGAAGCAGCAGAGGAAGCAGCAGCAGAAGATGATGAGGAAGAAGCAGCAGCAGCAGCAGCAGCAGTACCTGTAGCAGAAAGAGAAGCAGCAAAATCAAGACAAAGGCTTGCTGATGCAAAAAGAGCAGCAGCAGATGCAGATAATGCAGCAAAAGCAGCAGATGCAGATGCAGCAGCAGCAGGAAAGGCAGCACAAGAAGCTGCTGCAGCACTAGCGGAAGCAGAAAGAGCAGCAGGGCTATCTGCTGCAGCAGAGGAGACACTATTAAGCCCGGAAGCAGCAGCAGCAGCAGAAGCAGCAGCAGCATCAAAGGCAGCACTAGACAGGGCAAGACAGCTGGCAGCAGCAGCAACAGCAGCACGCAGAGAAGCAGACAGAAGGAGAGCTGCTGCTGCTGCAGTAGAGCAGGAAGCAAGGGCACTAGCGAGAGCAGCAGCAGCAGCAAGAGAAGCAGCAACAGCAGCAACAGCAGCAACAGATTGGCATGCAGACAGAACTGCATCTGAATTAAGGGCAGTAGCGGAGGTACTAGAGGAAGCAGAGGAAGCAGCAGCAGCAGCAAAACGAGCAGCAGCAGCAGCAAAGAAGAGAGAAAGAGATTTAAATGCAACGCATGCAACAGCAGCAGCAACAGCAGCAGCAGATGCTGCAGCAGCAGAAGAAGCAGTAGCAGCATCCGAAGCAGCAAGATCAAGAGCAGCAGAAGCAGCAGAGACAGTAGATTTCCTTAGACAGCTGAATGCAGCAGCAAGAGATGCAGCAGCAGAAGCAGCAGAAGCAGCAGAAGCAGCAGAAGCAGCAAAAGAGGAAGCAGATGCAGCAGAGGATAGGGCTATTGAATCCTTAGTAAAAAGTGAGCAAGCAGCAGCAGCAGCACAACTAGATGCTGCTGCAGTAGCAAGAACAGCAGCAGTATATCGTGCTGCAGCAGCAGCACAACAAAGATCAGAAAATACAGCAGCACAAGCAGCAGCAGCAGCAACTGCTGCTGCTGCTGCTTACCATGCAGCAAGGAGTAAGGCTATGCCCTTAGAGGCAGGAGTAGTTGCAGCAAAAAGGGACCTACAGAGTAAGACGGATGCAGGAGCAGCAGCAGCAGAAGCAGCAGAAGCAGCAGCAGAGGAAGCAGAAGCAGCAGAAGAAAGATTAGCAGCAGCAAGAGTAGCAGTACGTCGTCGTCATGTTGCGCATGCAGTTCCTGCTGCGCTGCTGCCGCATATAGCAGCAGCAGGAGATATTCTTGCTGCTGCAGCAAGATTACTACCTTTCTTAGATGACGATGCAGCAGCAGCAACAGCAGCAAAACTAGAGGAATTAAGGGAAGGAATAAAGGAGACACAAAGAAGAGGAGAGAGAGCAGCAACAGCAGCAGCAGCAGCAGATGAATGGCAGCAGCTAAGATTGCTGCTGCAGGAAGTATCTGTATTTACTGTATCTGTAGTAGATGCAGCAACAGATGCAGCAGAAGATGGTGTTGCTGCACTGCAGGAGCAGCAGCAGCAGCAGCAGCAGCAAGGGGAAGGACAATGGGCAGCTTTCCTTCTGTCTCCTCAGGAGACAAATGATCTTAATGAGGCAATTGTCTCCTTAATTAGATCTGTTGCTGCTAATCATGATCAGCTTGTTGATGCTGCTGTACATACACTGCAGCACATGCAGGATATAAGGGAGGAGCTGCAGCTGCTGCAGGAAGAGCAGCAGCAGCAGCTGGAACAGGAAGAGGAGCAGCAGGAAGAGGAGGAGCAGCAGGAAGAGCAGCAGCAGCAGTATACTGATGAAGAAGAGCAAGAACAAGAAATGCAAGAAATAACACCACAACAAAGGCAGGAACTGCAGCAGCAGCAACAGCAGCAGCAACAGCAGCAGCAGCAACAGCAGGAGTTATGGTGTACAAAAGGTAGGAAATTGCTGCTGCTTGCTGCTGAATCAGGAGACAGTCTGTTTATAGCAGCGCAGCAATCGCAGCAGCTAAGACAGCAAATGAGGCAACTGCAGCAAGCAGCAGCAGCAGCAGCAAAAGCATCGGTAAGTATAGATCTAATAGAGGAGACACTATACATAGAGGGAGATAATAAATTAATAAAAAATATATTAATACCCTTATTAATACATATAAATAATAATAATAATAATAAGGAAAAAAAAAAAAAAGAAGAAGAAAAAATAAATAATATAAAAGAAATAAATAAATTAATTAATAAATATATAAAAGAAATAAATAATAAATTAATAGATATAAATAATACAGATAATATAAATAAAATGCATGCAGCAGCAGCAGCAATAAAAAATATGCATGCAGCAGCAGAGCAGCAGATACAGCCCCTATGGAGACAATTATCCTCCCTCCCCCCTATGCACCAACTTGTCCCCTTAGGGGACACTTCCTTGCAGCTTTTTTTTCTTGGTATAATTAAGGAGACAATAAATAATATTAATTTATTTATTAATAATATTAATATAGATATATATAATATTAATAATAAAATTATCTATACATTTCCTTCTCTTATTCATCAAGAAACAGGAGACAGTAGGGGAGGAGACAGCAGGGGAGGAGACAGGGAGGAAGAAGAAGAAGAAGGAGGAGGAGGAGGAGGAGGAGGAGGAAGAGGAGGAGGAAGAGGAGGAAGAGGAGGAGGAGGAAGAGGAGGAAGAGGAAGAGGAGAAAAGGAAGAAAAAGACACAAAAAGAGACAAAGAAGGAGAGAGACACAAGAAAGGAGAGGGAAAAAAGAAAGGAGATAAAAAAAGAGGAGGAGAAGGAGGAGGAGGAGAAGGAGGAGAAGGAGGAGGAGGAAGAGGAAGAGGAAGAGGAAGAGGAAGAGGAAGAGGAGGAGGAGGAGAGGAGGAAGTAAATAGTAATTGGGTACATATATTAAATAAAGAATTAATAAAAAAAAGAATAAAAGAATTAAATGAATTAAAGGAGACAATAAGGAGACAAAAAAGAGAATATAATATGCATGCAAGAAAAGGAGAAGAAGAAAGTATATTAATAAGAAGGAGACCATCATTATCTCTTGTTGCTGCTGCTGCTGCAGCAAAAGAGACAATTAATAATTATATAGATATACAAGGAATAAATCTAGATACACAATTAATAGATCTAGATGTATCCTTATTATCTAGTATAGAGGATAGTCTCCTTGCTGCTGCTGCTGCAGCAAGCAGCAGCAAATTAATTAAGCAGCTGCATGCATATACACCTTATTCTTCTTCCTTATTAACAGCAACAAGAAAATGTCTTAAGGCAATTGAGCTAGCAAAAAGAGCAAAAGAAATACATTTTGCTGCAGCAGCAGCAGCAGCAGCAACTGCAGCAGCAGCAGATATCCATTTTATTATGTATAAGATTGAGAGATATAATATAGAGACAAGAGACAGTAAACAAAAAGCAGCAGCAGCAGCAGCAGAGAGAGCAGCAGCAGCAGAACAAATACAACAAGAACAACTAAGACGTCAACAACAAATACAACAACAAGCTGCAGCAGCAGCAGCAGCACAAGCAGCAGCAGCAGCAGCAGCAGGATGGGGACAAGAGGGATATGATGGTATCCCTGAAACTTCCCTTCGTTAATAACAAGTTGTCAATACCTGCTGCATGCATGCATGCATGCATGCAGGCAGCAGCAGCAGCAGCAGCACCGGTAGCAGCAGCAGCAGCACCGGTAGCAGCAGCACATAATTATTGCTGCAGCAGAAAGAGAGGACAGGACAATGTAAGAGATAGTAGCAGCAGATAGCAGCAAGAGGCAACAAATAGTGTGTCTCTCCTGCTGCTGCTGCTCATTCTGCTGCTGCTGCTGCAGGTGTCTCCTTTTTAATGCGTACTCTCCTTCTTATGTGTCTCTTCTCTGCAGCAGCAAACAGCAGCAGCCAAGGCAGCAGCAAACAGCAGCAGCAATTGCTGCTGCAGCTGCAACGTCTTCGTCGTTTTTATTAGCAGCAGCTGTGCCTGCCAGCCTGCATGCATGCATGCAAGAATTTATGCATGCACAATATTTATGCATGCACCGATGCATGCATGCACGTGTGCACAGATGCATGAGTGCATGCATGCACAGATGCATGCATGCTTGCATGCATGCTTGCATGCATACATGCGTGCATGCATGCATGCGCGGGGATAAGGTGCAGCACTTGCAGCGTCGTCGTCAATTGGAGGAAGAGGAGGAAACAATGGGGCTTGCATAGCAGCAAAAGGAGACAGCAAAAGGAGACACTTTTCTTCCTCTTTCTTCTTTTTATATATACGTGCATGCATGCATGCATGCATGTGTCTCCTGGCGAAGGTATTTTTTGGGGCTTTCTTGCATTGTGCCTATTGCTGTTTATTTACGTTATATTATGTGCATTCCTTCTGCTGCAGTAGCAGCAATAGCAGCAACAGCAGCAGCAACAGCAGCAACAGCAACAGCAGCAAGCGCAGCAGGGCAATACACTGTTTATATCCCCACACATTAGCAGCAGCACTTTGCTGCTGCTGCTGCTTGTGGGTTTATATTTCCCTGTGCTGTTGCTGCAGCTGCAGCTATTGCTGCTGCTGCTGCTGCTGTTGCTCCTGTTACTGCTGCTGCTGCTGCTGCTGCTGCTAGTGCTGGAGCAGCAGCAAAGAAGGAGACATATATATATAACCAATAACAACAGCAAGCCTTGTTTATTAATCTTTTCTTCCTTTTGTTGTCTCTCCTCCCCCTCCTCTCTCCCCCTCCTCCTCCTGTCTCCTTCTTGTCCTGTCTCCTTTCTTTTCTTGTCTCCTTTTCTTAATGTGTCTCCTTTTTCTTTCTTTGTGTATACATAAATACTAAATAATATCTCCTTTTGCTGCTGCTGCTGCTGCTGGTGGTGGTGTTGGTGCGTATCGCTGCATGCATGCAGCAGCAGGAGCCCCATTTGCTGCATGCATGTTTTATAACTGCAGCAGCAAATAATAAATAATAAGGCAGCAAATAGGTGTCTCTTTATACACCTTATTATTTATATAAGTGTCTCCTTTTTATTTTTGGCTATGCATGCATGTGCATGCATGCAGCCTGTCTTGCTGCAGCAGCAGCAGCAGCAGCATCCAGTTGTGTTGCTGCTGCTGCTCCTGCAGCATGTGGTGCTGCAGTTGCAGCCTTTAATTCTGTTGTTGCTGCTGCAGCCCGTGTCTGTGCTGCAGCAGCCTGTGATTTTGCTGCTGCTGCTGCTGCAGCCCGTGTCGCTGCAGCAGCCCGTGTCCCTGCAGCAGCAGCAGCATGTTATGCTGTTGCTGCTGCTGCAGCCTATTGTGCCGTTGCTGCTGCAGCAGCGTATTATGCTGCAGCAGCATCATGTGTTGGTGGTGCTGCTGCAGCCTGTTATGCTGCAGCAGCAAACCAGTTGCTGTAGCAGCAGCAGCTACTGCTGCTGCTGCAGCAGCACCGTTGCTGCAGCAGCAATTGCTGCTGCAGCAACTGTTTGTTGCTGTTAATAAAGAAATATTTTTTCCCTTTTTGTTCTTTTGTGTTAATAAATAAATAAATAAATAAATAAATAAATAAATAAATAAATAAATAAATTAATTAATTAATTAATTAAATAGATAAATAAATAAAATAAATAAATAAATAAATAAATAGAGAAAAAGGAGGCACTTATACAAAGAGACAAAAAAGGAGACAAAAAAGGAGACACTTAATACAGGAAAGAATACACAAACAAATAGACAAAAAAGGAGACAAACAAGGAGACAAAAAAGGAGACAAACAAGAAGAGAAAAAGGAGAAAAAAAAGGAGGAAAAAAGGGAGGAAAAAAAGGAGACAAAAAGGAGAGAGGGATATAGAGAAAAAAGAGACAAAAAAAGAGACACAAATAAAAAATTTTTTTATTGTCTCCTTTTTCTCTATGTATAGATGTATATCTATTATTTATTATTTATTGTATAGAAAATATATATTATGTATAAACTATTATATATATATAT